TAGCAAGGGCTAAAACCTTTGTATTTAAAAAATGAAAACAAATTAGCACAATCATGTCAAATACTTCTGCAAGCAGTTTAAACAGGAAAGTTAAAAAGGCCAGGACTTTGAACATAGAAACAGTTGAACTTTCCAACAATGAAGCAGGCAACAAAGAAAACTTAGAACATATTAAAGCTTCTCTAACTGAGGTCAAAAAAGAAGACAACAATACAAAATACAAAGATCTCAATACTGTATTCAAAGCTAAAGACACAAAGTCTAAAAATGAAAATAAAGTAAACACAAAGGCCATGCAAAAAGAAAATGTTTTGGCCATCTCATCTTATATGACTTGTCAAGATGCATTAAAACAAACAAAACATGTGGCCAGTACCTGCTATATAAAGGAACACCAATCAAAACAAACTGATCATTTGACCAATGCTGACCTTAAAACAGATCAAGCAACTGAACATGAAGCAAATCACACTAATGTTTAAGTAAAACCCAAAGATACCTCTGCAAAACCTAGGTAGTGGTCAGATCTTTTCACAAAACTCAAAAGAGAAAAAGCAACATATTCAACTTATTCTCCTAGAAAGAGACTTCACACTAAAAATAAAAATGCACTAATCTTTGAAATCCATAGCTTAGAAAACATTCCTATCTCTAAAATTGTTGAAGCTATGCAAAAGGATATTGATAAGACCTAATTGCAGTCAAACTAATAATTATCAAAAACAGATACACATATCTGGAAGTTGTCTTCTTAGATGAAGAAAAACAACAGTATTATGCAACTGAAGGCCTTACAGTCTTTAAACAAAATATTCAAGGATACATCCCTATTAACATCAAATGCAACTTTTTGTCAATAAGGCTTCACAACATCCCAATAGAAAAAAAGGACTTTGTTTCAGAATCCATTAAGGAAGCCTTTCAAGATATTGGTACCATCTCATCTTTCAAGTCACTGGTCCACAAAGGCACCTCAGTCCTCTTAGATCAATGGGTTGTGATCTTCAAAACAACAGAAGACCCAGACTTAGCTTCTAGAATTTCTAGATACACACATGTCAGGGATCAAAAAGTAACAACAGACTGGAGAGAAGCTTCAAAGTTATGTTACTTTTGTGATAAAACAGGACACATTAAAAAAAAATGTCCAGAATACAAGACATCAGTAGAAATCAGAAACCTTCACAAAAATCGCAAGATACAAAAAAGACAAAAAAATAAACAGCTGCTTCAACAAAAAAAAAGAAACCACTAGTTCTAAGTTTGGATAACTTCTATAATCCAACTAATAAGTTTAGTATGAATATTGACAGACAAGAGGAAAACATCAATTCAACAATAGATGAGCAAGAAGAAAATATTACCTCATCTAATTTAGAAGTAGATGAAGAATCTAAAACAGAATCTTTATGGTCTGGGGAAATAGAACTACACTCACAGATACTGCCTGCTGAAGAACATATTTTGGAAGCAACTACATCTGAAAGAAATAGTTTTATTCTCAGAATGAAGACCTTATCAGACTCTTTGACTACTATATATAGCAATACTCCAAGTCAATCTACGAACCCTTAAGGCAAAGATGAAGACAGTTTTACTTTAGTTTCATCTAAATGCAAATCTAAAATTTGGCAAAAGGTCACAGACCTACAAGAAAACAGCAACAGGCTTAAGAACAGCTATAGGATCAGAAGAAGTCCCTATTAAATCATCTTTTTCTTCTATAACAATTATTATGGTTAAAAAAATTAGAATTGCAACACTAAATGTTAAAGGTTTAAATAATATAAATAAGGCATATAGAACATTAACATTACTAAAATCATATTATTTAGATATAATAATGCTTCAAGAAACAAATCTAGAGAACCTTAATATTAGGAAGTTTTTGCAACAACAGTGGGGCTACTGCTCCTATTAGACATTGAAAATTGCAATACTGGCAGGCAATCAAAATATTTCATTTACCAAACTTCAAGATTTTCATAATAGGCATGTTATTATTACAGAATTAACTTACAAACAACAACTCTTCAAGTTTACTAATGTCTATGCATCCCCAAATATTGAGGACAGAACTATCTTCTTCAACAATTGGGCTCCTCAAGTAGATGATAGATGCATAAACATTATGATGGGAGATTTTAACACTAATCTCAATCCACAAACAAATAGAATTAGCAACTCACCTCCAACTAGTGATCTTACAAGAAAAATTCTCAAAAGACTTACCTTAGAGTTTTTAGACACAGTAAGCTTGGAGCAAAGAGAGGAACCCTTTATAACTTATTATAAAAATACCAGAGGTGGTAGAAGAATGGCTACAAGACTTGATTATATCTTTATTGATACTAATTATAGACACTGTTGCAAACACATTGCAACTCAGTTTGGAAACTCAAACCACCTACTGGTGGAATGTGAGCTTTAGTTAACTTCCAACTCTACTAAGATCAAACAATAGAGATTCAACAAAAACAGTTGGAACAACTTATTGCTTAAAGCAGAAATAATAAAAGAAATTCAAAATATAAAAGACTTTTCCAAATGGGATCTTTACAAGTGCAGGATTCAATTAATAGCAAGAGCCTTTAGACCCCAGCCCTTACCAGAAAAAAAAATTCAGAAACTTCAAAAAAAACTTACCAAAATTAACAATAAAATTGCTAAAAAAAAGTCAGATAAGCTACTAGCACTGAGTGAAGATATTGATACCCAGCTGCAGAAGAAAATCCAAGCACTTTCAGACAAATGGCAAACTAAATCAAACACAAAATGGATAGAAGAGGATAAAAAATCCACTAGATTCTTTTACTTATTTTACAAATCTAGAAGCTGTATATCAGCCAAAGACAAAGTTCAAATTCCCAACAATAGTCAATCTCAGAATCCTACAGATGTTCTTCATTACATCAAAAAAGCTTATCAAGAGATCTACAAAGCTGAAGAGGTAAACAAAGAAGCAATAAACTTTCTTATGCAGAGCCTACCATCAGTATCAATACTGCATAATCAAGCTTTAACTAAGAACATCTCAGTAGAAAAAATAAGTGCAGTAATTAGCCAACTCCTAAACAACAAAACACCAGGATCAGATGGTTTAAATTATAAATTCTATAAAGAAATCAAAGACAAAGTTTTTTCTGTAATGGTTAACTTGTTCAACCACTGTTTGAGAACTGGCACAGTCTCCAGATTATAGACCAAAAGCATCATTATCTTAATTTCCAAAAGATCTAATAATCTTTCCAATCTAAACAATTGGAGACCAATTTCACTAACAAACTGTGACAACAAAATATTTATGAAAAACTTGGCTAACAGAATCAATTTAATTTGTGAAGAGATGATCAGTCCAGTCCAACAAGTCTTCATAAAAAAAAATCCATCATTAATACAGCACTTGATATTATCATCATATTAAGAAACCAAAATAACCAAACTCTCTCTCATTGGATTCTCCTACTAGACCAACAAAAAGCCTTTGACAAAATAAGGCATAGTTTTATTTTTCAAGTACTAGAAAATATGAGGTTTGATGACAGGTTCATAAGAATTATTAGATCTTTCCTCAGCTTACAGACAGCATATATCTCAGATACAGACTTTAGATCAGAAGCAATAACAGTAGAAAGTAAGATATGACAAAGTGAACACTTTCACCTCTCCTTTATATTATAGCTCTAAACCTTTTAATCCTAAAAATTCAGAAAGAACTAGCTGAAATACAAACTATAAGATACTATTTTAAAGCAATTACATATGCAGATAACTTAACAGTAGGAATTAGTTCATAGCCAGATTGAGAAAGACTCTTGCTAATACTTTAGAAATTCAAAGCAGCAGCTAATACCAGAATTAACTTTAAGAAATCAGTTCTAATATCAACAACAATCATGGCTAAGGTAATTAGTCTTCCAAATCAAGATCTTTTTAAGATTGCAAATGAAAACAGTCAGCTAAGAATTCTAAGATTTGAAGTAAACTCCAAAGATGATCCTCTGAAACAAGTTTGAAAAAAAATAATTCAAGACATCAAGAATAAAATAGAAAAAATCTTAACAAGGAATTTATCATTCAAAGGAAAAATTCTGTTATCTAAATCTTTTCTTATTTCAAAAATTTGGTATATGATGTACTTACTACCACCTAGCAGAAAACAATTAGATAGAATTAATATGCTTATATCTGGCTAAATTAAAAACAAGTCTAAGCTGCTACCAAGATATTCAGCATTTTAACTAAACTATAACAGAGGAGGTCTCGATGCCTTAGTACTTAAAGACATTTTAGATTTCAGACTTATTTCAATTTGGTTAAAACTTCTTTTAGCAAGTAGTTTATGGGCCAAAATTGAAAGACCACTAATTTCACAAAGTCTTCAAACCAAAAGAAATCTGACTGCAATATTAGCTCTTACAAAAATACCAATAAGACTTAAAAAGTGATCAGATCATTAGAAGCCATATCTAACTGCATAGAAGTGACTTAAAGGAACCATTCTTGCAATCAGTGACTGGCCATGGAATGCTTCACAACTAAGAGTCTGTAATACCTCTGAAAACCAATTTTCAGTACAAAGAATCACTGAGTTTTTAAAACAAAGTTTCATAAAACCTACTATAATACAAATTTTATCATGTCTACTAGAAGATTCTGAAAGAGTTTCTAGCTAGTTCTAGTATAAAGGACTGCTCAATAAAAAGAAAGACATTTTCTAAAGACTTCAAAACAATGCACTACCACTAGAATATTACTTTATATATATTAACAAAAAAATTGATGAAAACTGTCTAAACTGTACAAATTAGAAATAAACACCAAGCCATTTTGCTATAGACTGTTGAATTAGCCAAATTTTTTGGAAAGAAGGATATACCTTTTTTCAAACAGGAACAGAAGAAATACATCCTTAGTTAATAGAAGAAATTTTAAAGGCTTCAAATATTAAAGATTCAAAAAAAGAAAAGCAGCACTCTGGCTTCATATTACAATAATATATGAAATCTGGTTATGGTATACTTAAGCCAAAATCAGCAAAAGCTTAAGAATGTTAGATAAAACTTCTAAGAATAAAGTAAAAGCCAAAATAACTAGGTTTTTAACTCTAACTGTAAATAGATAATAATAATCAGTTTGATAATAATGTATTTATAATCTATTAAATAAAGTATGCCAATTCGCATTAAAAAAAAAAAATTATCTGGTCTTAGTGCAGAATGACAATGGTATTTATATGAACAAATAAAAACTTATGTACAAAATCCTAATAAAAAAAATAATTTATGTCTAATGTCTACTATTACTAAACTAGAAAAATTTAAATAAAATTAAATATTAAATGTTTTATTAAATAAAATTAACAATTAATCAATTGCAAAAGCACATAATCAATAAACCAGTTAATTATTAAGTTGTTTAATTTAATTATAAGATGTATAATAATATTAAAAAAAATCAATTTTATTGTAAAATGATATTATAATATAATACAATAAATAATACAAATTTAAATACTAATTTTATTGTAAAATAATATTATAATACAATACAATAAATAATACAGATTTAAATACTAATTTTATTGTAAAATGATATTATAATACAGCACAATAAATAATACAGATTTAAATACTAATTTTATTGTAAAATAATATTATAATACAGTATAATAAATAATATAAAATAAAAATACAGATTATATAAACAAGATAAAATTCTTTTAAAAATATTTAAAACTACAAACTAAATACTAAAAAGAAAAAAATTTATCAAAAAAATGTTAAAGAATCAGAAGAAAACCTACCAAAAATTTTTTCAAAAAACATACCAAAATATCAGAAAAAGAAAAACCAACAAAAAATTTATCAAAAAACTATAAAAGAACAAAAGAAAATCTACAAAATAATTCTTTAAAATAAAAAATGCTAAAATAACAAAGATATTCACAAGAAATTTACCAGAAGACCATCAAAGGACCAAAGAAAAACCCACAAGAAAATTCTTCAAAAAAAACACTAAAATATCAGAAGAAAATCTACAAGAAATTTACCAGAAGAGCACTAAAGGACTAGAGAAAAATCCACAAGTAAATTCTACAAAAGAATGCTAAAATACTAGAGGGAAAGTTACAAAAAATTTACCAAAAAACCACCAAAGGACCAGAGGAAAATCTGCAAAAAATTCTCCAAAAAAATGCCAAAATACTAGAAGAAAATCTACAAGAAATTTACCAAAAGACTGTCAAAGGACCAGAGAAAAATCCACAAAAGAATTCACTAAAAGAATGCCAAAATAAAAGAAATATTTACAAGAAATTTACCAGAAAATCACCAAGGGATTAGAGGAAAATCTATAAAAGAATTCTTCAAAAAAAATACTGAAATACCAAAAGAAAATTTACAAGAAGTTCACCAAAAGACTACTAAAAGGCCAAAGAAAAATCCACAAGAGAATTCTACAAAAAAACACTGAAATACCAGAGAGAAATCCACAAAAAATTCACCAAAAGACCTCCAAAGAACTAGAATAAAATCTATAAGAGAATTCTCCAAAAAAATGCTAAAATATCAAAAAGAAATCTATAAGAAATTTACCAAAAAACTACCAAAGGATCAGAGAAAAATCCACAAGAGAATTCTCCAAAAAAATGCTAAAATAACAAAAATATTCACAAGAAATTCACCAGAAGATCACTGAGAGACCAGAGGAAATTCTACAAGAAAATTCTCCAAAAAAAATACTGAATACTAGAAGAAAATCTATAAGAAGTTCACCAAAAGACTGCTGAAAGACTAGAGAAAAATTCACAAGAGAATTTTATAATAAAATGCCAAAATACTAAAAAAAAATCTACAAAAAATTTACCAAAAGACCACAAAAGGACCAAAGGAAAATTTACAAGAGAATTCTTCAAAAAAACAATGAAATAATAGTAATATTTACAAGAAATTTATCAGAAGACTATCAAAGGATCAGAGAAAAATTCATAAGAGAATTTTTTTAAAAAAAAATGTCAAAGAACCTAAGAAATATTCACAAAAAATTTGCTAGAAAGCACTGAAATATCAGAGAGAAATCCACATGAAATTTACCAGAAAAATGCCAAAAGATGAAAGGAATATCCATAAAGGATTTGCTAGAAATATACTGAAAGACTAAAGAAAAATCTATATGAAATTCACTAAAAAAATGCTAAAGAACCAAAGAGATATTCATAAGGAATTTGCCAGAAAAATGACAAAGAACCAGAAAGATATCTATAATAAATTTGCCAAAAAAAAGCCAAGAGATCAGAAAAAAATCCATATGAAAATTTTCCAAAAAAAAAATACCAAAATATTAGAAAAAAATCTACATAAAATTTACTAGAAAAATATTAAAGAATCAGAAGAAAAATTCACAAAAAAATAATTGATGAACTTTCTTATAAACATTTCTCTAGTTTCATCAAAAATGCTGAAAGACCAGAAGAAAATCTATAAAAAAGTTTACCAACTAAATGCCAAAAAGATAAGAGAAATAACAAGAGACAAGTCTGCAAGTAAGTTCTTCAAAAATATTGAAAGACAGAGGAAAAGTCTACAAGAAAGTTCTTCTAAAACATCAAGAGACAGAAGAAAAGTCTGAAAAGTTTTCTAACAAATGAAAGATTTATAAAAAAAAAATTCACCAACCAATTTCAAAAGATTAGTAAGGCTTACTAGAAAATATTGAAAGATCAGAAGAAAGTTTACTTACTAATAAATGCTGAAAGACAAGAGGAAAGTCTGCAAGAAGTTCTTTAAAAATGTTAAAAGATAGAAGAAAAATTTACAAGACAGTTTTTCAAAACCACCAAAAACAAAAAAATTTACAAAAAAATTCTTCAATAAACAAAAGATCCACAAGAAAATTTATCAATCAATTCTGAAAAATTAGTAAAAGTCTACAAGCTTTACTAAAAAAGATCAAAAGATAAAAAAGTTTATTTACTAATAAATGCCAAAAAAACAAGAGAAAATCTGCAAGAAAGTTCTCCAAAAACATTGAAAGACAAAAGAAAAGTCTGCAAGAAAGTTTTTCAAAAACATTGAAAAACAAGAGAAAAGTTCACAAGAAAGTTCTTAAAAACATTGAGAAAGTTCTTTAATAATTTGTCAAAAGATGTATCCAATTTTGAAAGATTACTAAAGTTTACAAGGTTTACTAAAATTTAGTAAACTTTAACATTATAAAAAAAAAGTTATCATTAAATAAAATTTTAAAGTATATTTGTTGATAATCTAGGTAATCTTCATTTCTATAATATTCTAGTCGATTTAGAAATCTTATATTTCTATTTTTAGATTTTGGCATTTTTTAAATTTTGTTTTTTTGCAATTTACAGATATAATTTGGTCTTGTAATTTGGTAAATCTTTTTGTCAAATATATATATATTAGAAAATCAGAAAAATTCAAATTTTTTAAAAAAGTAAAAAAGGACTGTTTTAATTAATAATGCCCCATATTACTAAGTTCACTAATATTGAAACTTTTTAAAACCTTTTACTTATAATTTTTTAAATTTTTAATTTTTTGAATCTTTTTATTATTTTCTCATTATAAAATTCTTTATTTAAATTATTTTAATGCCTTTTTTAACTTCAATAATATTAGGGGTATGGTGACCTAGTAAAGTGGATAAGTTGTCAACCCCCAAGTGGCAGGTTTAGAGTTTAAATCCCAGTGACAGCAAAAATTTGTAATTCTTTTTGTGTTACAGCTAACTGTCTTCCGTAATTAGTTGAAATAGGATACCTGTAACCCATGTAATATCAGCCTGACTGGAAGGTCTAGGCATTCGTGCAATGTTGTATGAAGGAACACAAACCGGTACCAGGCAGTGTGAACCCAAGATAAGTCCTTAGGCCATGTAAATCATGGGAACCAGGTAGGAGGACAGAAGCCCACTTGGAAGACCCAAGTAGAGAGGTAACCTGAACTTTTGATGGTGCTACTGTAAAGACTAGACCTATGAAATAGAGCTAGAACTTGTGAAACCAGGCAAAGAGCTGGCCTTTGAGGAGGGGCCGAATAGAACCAACCAGGCTGCCAGAATTTCTGAGTTCTGAAGGAAAAGGTTATATGCTGGCAAACATGTAAACCAAAGGTGTATGGTTATGATCTGCCTTTCTGGGCTATCTGGTTTGGGAGCTTGGTGAAACTTGAATTAAATACCAAAGTAGTAGAGATATGTTGTGAAGTTAGTACCGGAGTTGGGTTGAACTCTACAAGGGCATAGCAGTTAAATAATACGCCCTGATCATCAGCATTGGTTTCAGCCATAGTGATATCAGATCAGCTGTAAGAATGGGATACAGAAGATTTTGGAAGGTTTAGTACAAGGCCAAAGATTCCCCATGTGAGTGAACTGCTTTAAAGACTTAGTGATCATGGCATATTTGAACCGATATCAACTGGGACATCTTGGTAGGTGTAGGTAGATGGGTGGATACAGGAACAGTGTGGTTAAATAGGGAACCTACAAGCAGGTTCCAGGTATGGCAGCTAGTATAGAACCTTCGGGCAGACTACTTAAATTAGACAATAAGTAAAGTTGTATGAATGGCTAGCTGTATACTCTTTTCATAGTTGCCCTCTGTAGTTGTAATGCAACTATTAGCTGAATGTACTATCAATAAAATCCTGGATCACAAGTACTCACCTTAATATTTTAAAAAAAAAAAAAAATTTAAATGTATTTTTATAAGCTCTATAACTTTTAATTAATCAATTTAGACTGTTAACTTAATATAAAAAAAGTTTAGTTAAGCATATATTGTATATTTATAATAAAATATAAATTAGTTTATCATATAACAAATTCAAATTTATCACTTTATATATTAGTTTATTATGTGACAAATTCGAATTTGTCACTTTGTAAATCAGTTCACAAAGTAATAAATTCAAATTTGTCATATAATAAACTAATTTATATTTTATTATAAATATACAATATATGCTTATCTAAACTTTTTTTATACTAAATTAACAGTCTAAGTTGATTAATTAAAAGTTATAAAGCTTATAAAAATACATTTAATGATAATTAGATTATTTAAATTAGATTAGTAAATATTAAGATATCATTAAAAATAATTGGCTGATTATATATATAAATAATAATTTGTTTATATAAAATTTTATATAATTAGTTAATTATTTTTAATGATATCTTAGCATCTACTAAACCAATTTAGATGATTTAATTATTATTAGATGTATTTTAATGAGCTCTACAACTTTTAATTAATTGACTTGAACTATTAACTTAATACAAAAAAAATTATAAATAAATATATATTGCATTTCTGTTTATAATAAAAAATATAAAAAATTTATATCATATTATATTAAAATTATTCTTTAAATAATTATTAGATGGGAAAAAAAACTCTTTCTGCAAATCTATTGCACAAAAATTAACAAAAAAATCGTCTGTCTAAAAACTCTTATAACTTTTTATTTTACTAAGACAACCGGTTCTGGTGTCTTAAATAAACTTGTTCAGCTCAGTGATTTACATATACTCCGAAAATATTATAGTTCTATCTCTCAAACTCACAGAGAAAACTGTACTGACGGCCTTTGGCCTTCAATTTTAGAAAATTAACTCTTTCACAGTTTTTACTGCAATAACTTGTCTTATACCCTTAATTAAAGTTGTAGTACACACTTGTCTTGTCAAAACAAGCCCTAAAAGAAGAATT